CTCGAACTTGTCGGAATAGACATTCCCATGGAAATAATAGTTTCACGTATGTCTGATATTAAGTTCACGAATATTTCGAAATAACCAATAACATTAAAGATATTTTAAAATTTACTGTTTGTATTATTTTTATTTGTTGTGGTTTTTGGGTAACCGATTACCTGCCGAGCCTCTGCGCTGGAGCAGATGCCGTGCCGAGCAATCGCTAGCTTGACCAAGGACAAGTGAAAATATTCGATTATGTATAATTAAAACTTTTCGAGTTATTTTTAGTTTTTCTTTTCACATATTGAAAAAAGAAAAAGTAGCTTTTGTATAGAAGAGCAACGAAAGTTTCGAGAAACTAAGAAATTCTTTCGTTAACGGAAATAATAAAATTTTCGAAAAGGTCTTATTAAATTTACTACAAATTTCTCTATTTGTGTTACCTATTTGCCAGTCCCTTAGCAGCTACCACAATTTCTAACTAATTTAAGAAAATCAGTTTCTTAGTGAAAGAGAGGTAAAAATAATATACCCACATAAATAAAATAATATCAATCTATAAATGTTTTAACTACAATTTCACCAAAAATCCAAGATATCCAATAATCTTTGGTTATGTCTTAGTCTTTCGCGTAGTCTTTCGTCAAATTTTCGACTTTAATGCGCAAACTCTAGTACAATTCCTATTGGAAAACACAATTTCCAATGCTCGTAAGCAGGGGAATATTTTCCCATACTTCTCATTGGAAAATATTCCACCGCTTGTGCCGAGAATACGAAAACTGAATTCCCATGGGAAAATTTTATTTTCCCATGGGAATAAAAGTCGAGAATCGACCCCCAGGGTGGTATAAGCCCACCAAATGGCCACTTCCAAAAATGAAGTTCATCTTTCGGTGACCTTATTGACCCGCACGACTTTGACCTGAGAGGCAAGCTATTCCTAGACACCTCTTAGCGATACTTTATAGTTGATGACCTACAGGACTTTGATGAGCTGGAAGGCTGGCTGTCTGTAAATACCTCTCAGCGTCAACCACCAGGTTTTTGACGAGTTGAAAACCTGCAGGACTTTGATGAACTAGGATGGTGGCTGTCGCTAGGCATCTTTCAGCGATAACCAGCAGGCTTTTGAAGAGTGGAGAGGCAGGTCCCATATGCCCTTGGATGATGCACAATGGCCCCAGTCCGGCCTAAGTGATGTAAAGTAACTTACGCTCTCACACCTTACAGATATAGATAGTTTTAATAATACTTGAAATAATAAAATTAATACAATATTAATTTTGAAACATGTGCATACAGGGCATTTAAAAATGTGTTTTAAAATTGTAACTAGACCTGTAGATACACACTGGAGTGGGTTACAAGTATTATACTGATATAAACTTATACAGTTAATAATTATTTATTGAGCTTTAGAATAAGTTTACATTAAATAATTTTTATAATTCAGGTATTATTAAAAATCCATATTATCAAAAAAAGGAGGAGGCTTTCAATTCGTCGGAATATTTTATAATTCTGTACCACGTTGTCCGATTTCTATGATTATTTTTTTGTTAGAAAGGGGTACCTCAGGGATGGTCCTATATACATTTGCTCAAGTTCCGATGATGGGATCAGCAAACTCAATTTGTAATGGCGTCTGCAGGATTTTGAATTCGGTTTTTAAAATTTCTCTTATAACTTGTATAACCAGTTGTTCCTTCATTTAGTATTTTTGACAGTAGATTAATTTCCAGGCAGAACCATCGGGGACTGAAAGAATCTCCTTGAAATATGCATGTCTTGAATGGCAACGGTTTTGATCTTACACAGGCATTCATTGTATTTATAATTAAGATTGTTTGCCATCTTTCCATTGTATCTTTTATCGGGTCGGTGGTGTAGCGGTCTAACGCGCTTATATTCATTTATAAGCAAGTTTATGTGTCGGAGACTGCTGGGCTTCGAATCCCAGACCAGACCATGTTGATTTTTAATTAAATTGCATGGTTCGGTATAGGATTTGATGTGTTCCGTATTAATAGAAATTTAATTTCTGTTGATGTGACATGCAGATTATAAAAAATCGCCATACATTACCGTCTCGATGATGGTGGGTGAGGTTTTCCGGGTTTTCCTCACCTGTAAGTCAAATGGCACCATCAATCATCTTTAAGTCGCCCTGGAGCGCCACGGCAAATAATAATAATAGCCGTCCCTTTCCCCGCACAAGCTCAGCTTTTGGGGTTAAAATTCACTCGTAAGGGGGTGAATTAGGGAGAGTATTATTATTATAGAAGTTAATTACTTTTTGGGTGTATCTTATATATTTTTAAGACTTTTATTAATCACATATGAGGTACTGAGTCGAAAGCTTTTCTGTAATCAATACATGCATATGCCATGTATTCTCTTTTTTTTATTGGCCTGGTTCTTAACAACTGAGTCTACCCCTTCAATTCTTCTTGCACCCTTTCTGCTGTTCGGCTAATAAATTATTATTATTATTATACTACTAATGACTAATGTACAAAAACTTCAATTCAAGTTCAAAATTTGAGTAGTAAAATTTCTATTTCCCAACGAAGCACCCTGTATAAAGTGCGATTGAAATAAAAATGCGTTATTGCTATTGCTACCATTTTTTAAAGATCCCATACCATATTTTATTTAATTTTACTTTCTATTTAGAAGATTCCTATTATCAGTTACTGTTACTTTCTCTTTTACTTAATAATTAATGCTAGTGTTACTTTTAAATTTTCTGGTTGGTTGTGAAATTAAATGGTGCTTCTTCAGGATGTTGAAAGAGAAACCTCTAAAAATGAACTTGATTTTAGTAAAGCTATAAATTTTATTTTATTTTTAGAATTGTTTGGTTAAAATATTTCATATCATTTTAAACGTTAACATTATTACCAGTGCACTGTTTTGTAATAGTTATTTACATAACAAGTTCGGTAGATGACAGTCCAATTAGAGATTTGAAGTGATGCTATAAACGTATACGTGGAAATTGACATCTACGCATATTCACGTTCACGTCTACGTAAATACGTAAGCTTACGGGCTCTGGCGTATGTACGCAACTCAAACAAAATAACCTCTTTTTAATTAGGAAAGAAGAAATTCTAATATTAATTGTCATTATCTCTCATGGCATGTAAATGTCACGGTGCGTTTAACAACTTCAACTCATATTTTGTAGTTCAGAATAAACATTATTTTTCTGTATTGACGTTCACGTTTACGTTAACGTACTCTTTAACCTATTTATAAATGACATTATAAACGATTTGGATGTAAATTGCCTTCTGTATGCCGATGACATGAAATTGTATAGTGTTATCAAATCACCAGATGACTGCAACACGTTGCAAGTATAGCACTTGATCGAGTGCATACCTGGTATGTTGAGAACAATCTACAATTAAATGCTAATAAATGGTGCATCGTTTCATTTTCCCTTAAACACAATGTTATTTATCATGATTTCTGATATATTTGTTCCCAGAGCCTCTGAGTTCAAGGACCTTGGTGTAACATTTGAAATTAAATTTTCTTTTAGTTCACATGTTAGTAGAATTTCCAATGAAGCATTTAAAATGTTGGGTTTTGTCATCAGAAGTACCAAGACCTCTAAAGATATTGATACGCTGTTACTATTTTATTATTCTTATGTGCGCTCTAAACTAGAATATGCCTCTGTCATATAGTGTCCCTCACATGATATTTACATTACCATATTAGAACGAGTACAGCGTAGGTTCTTGAAATATTTGAGTTTTAAAGATGGTCTCTATCCAGTTATCGGATACCCCTACATTCATCTCCTTAGCAGATTTTGTGTAAAATCACTAGAAGATAGGCGTGACATTGCAGGATTAATTTTTATTCACAAAGTCATAAGTGCATCTATTAACTGCTCCGTATGATTAACTTTCTTGTACCTAGAATTACGTCTAGAGTAAATTCCTCTTTCTATTTACCAACTGCGAGGACCAACATACAAAATCACTCACCTTTGTATAGAATATGCAACTGCTATTATAAAATTGGTTCATCACTTGATATTTTTTCCTGCAGCATTGCTGCAGTAAAACGTATAACGACTACTTAATATATATTGTGTACTTATTTGTAAATATGATTTATTTTTTTTTTTTGTATAGTTACCATTTGTTCATATTTATATTTTTATAATCTGTAAGTTTTCCTACCCTATAATTGGATTTATCTGTTGGGTAGTAATAAAAAAAAACACTTTAACTCTCTATTAAGTACGTACGAGGCGACGAAAGATCCGAGTCCAGAATATCTAAAGAAAGACTGTAACAAATTCTATCGTATAATAATTTTATTTAATTTATCATTTCTTGTACAGTTGTAATTTAAAGTTATTAATTTTTTGAGTCCATCTTTGTCCATCTTTCTTTTGTTGATAGCTTCAATATTACACATTTCGTATGAACTGACCGTAGTGACGTAATTGGTTTCAGCTCTGCACACTGCATACCCTACTCTGCAATTAATTACTGTCATTATCAATAAATATTTGATTTTAATTACCAACAAGGCACGCGGAACACAAATATTTATTTAAATTATTGTGTTTATTTATTATTAGTTTAATTTTGATATATTACAATAACTTTCAAACTAAACCATACAATGTGGAACAGCCAAATGGAATAAATTCAGTAATACATAAATGGGGGCGTGTTCGGAAAAACGCTTGGACACGTCGATTGGGATATAGTGTTTTCTTTTATTTGAAAATGTATGTGTACAAATTTAGTATTATTTAGCTGTAGCTTCATCATCTACTCCTACTGAAATGAGAAGCAATACCACCAGCAATTATATTAAATGATTCAAATTTAACGACGTATGTATTCGTGCGTATAAAGATCGGGCTAGAAGAATAATAAACCGTTTTCATTTGTTCTTGACATCGTTTCGCAGAGCTTTTTTAAATTATCTGATAAAAATGTTTTTATATTATTACAATTTTTTTTTTGTTTCAGAAATATGTAGACGAAATCTGCGTTGAAGGATGCGCGGGAGCAGTGGCCGGGGAAGATTCAAGTTACGATTCGGACTACGAAGCTGATACTCCATCTTCCGTACCGGCCAGGCACCAGGATGTCTCTCGAACGACCAGCGATACTCTCGCTGCCGAATACGCCGAATATGTTCAATCTACGCCAGAAGTATCTGCTGGATATACAGCCAGGTAAAGAAAAAACCCAAAGCTTTTCTATCTCTAATTATTAATGATAATATAGAATATTTTACTGTCGACGACCTTTTTAAATAAAACAAAAATGTCACATTTTATATCATAAAGGTATATTATTACAGAGCTGGGCAGTAATTGCCTCGAAAGTGCTTTATTTAAAGTGCTTGCAAGCACTCAAAAGAACTTACAAGCCTTTCAAAAGTTTACAAGCACTTAAAATGCTTGCAAGCACTAAATAACTTGCAAGCACTAAATGACGTAAAAGCACAATTAGATTTGAATGCTTGCTCATGAATTATTACTGTTTTTTATATTTAGGTTGTTTTTGATTTATATCCAAATTTCTTATAGTCCGAGATCCCACTGCGAAATTTTGTGTATAAAGTTTTAATGCCAACATATATTCCAAAGTTCGAAAAACCATGCAAAGATTTTTTTCGAATCGGTAAAATGGGTGTCGTGCAATTTAGTTCCATTAATTTTAGGGGAGATTCTACATAAGAAAACATGTAAATTTCTTTATATGGACATAGATCCGAAAAATTAATAAGTTTTAAGATACAGGGTTAATTTTTTTGACCAGTTTTTTTATAAATTTCATTAATATCCTTCACTCGATTTTGTTGAAATTTTACAGTGTTATTTGTACGTTGTTTAAGATGCCAATGAATCTAATAATTTTCATCCAGTTTGTACTAAATTGGCCCGTTATTACTTAACAATACTGCCCAATATTAATGTATTTATAAAAAGCCGAATTAAAAAAAAAAGTTATGCATTTCCGAACCTATGTTCATATGAAGAAATGTTCATCTTTTCTTATGTAGAATCACCCAAAAAAATATTGGAACTGAATTTCACAGATTCGAAAAACAAAAATAAATTTTCAATATATATTCACCATTTTTGCATCATTTTTCGAACTTTGTACTAAAATTATTATTATGGTAACCATTTACAACAGCGACAATAATCAATAAGAGTACAGTGGACAAAAAGACATTTTGTCATTAATAATTTATTCACAAAATTTTACCATTTTGAGCAAAAAAAAAAACAAACATTTAAAAAGGGATCTCTGTCAATCAATTATGATTAGCCTGTGGTCTGTAGTATTTTTTCCTGAAGAAAGGTCCTTTGGTTTTTAGTTTGACAAAAAAGTGTACCGAAGATCGGCAATTTTGGTGCTGATTATCCTCACGACGAATGAAGAGCGGCTTAAGTTAAAAAAGGTAAAGAGTTAAAGTTACTGTAGCATCATGTATATGTTATATAGAGTTATTATTTGTTTCAATTTTGTAAACAAATGATTTATAATACAGTATGTTAAGTTTCATACACTCTCAACAGAAGAACGTTATAGAATAAGCGATGCCATTGATTAGACAGAGCTAGAACAGAACACGCCACTCCACTAGCGGTAGATATGTACCCATCTGTCCAATTACGGCAGGCAGTCAGTCGATTCAGAGAGTCTCTCCTTATTTTCTCACGTGCAAATATAATTAAACTTCTCATCTTTATTTCGAAGGATCTTTGGGTTAATATATGTGTTGTTTTATTTATTTCACAGAGCAACGGCTACTTCAAAAAAATATTGTTTTTATATTTTTAGATCATAATTACTAATTTACTAAATGCTGCGGCTCGATAGCAATGGCAGCACACAACACAACAACAACTTATCAATAATTAATCTAAATAAAAAAATAATTTCAGCTCAATATTCTTAGAACTGTTAGTACCTACTGCCTTTCCAGTACCTTCCTCCTTCTTGCAGATAATTTGTGCTTATTTTTTTTATTGATTTCTTCATTTTTATTGTATTTTGTGTCATGTAATGAAGACTAGTAAATTAAAAACAAAACAAAAATTATTACTGTCATCCAAAAAATAAATATGTTGCTTACGTAATTAGGAAAGAAGCGATTGGAAAAGTAAAAATGCTTGGTATTTTATTTGAGAAAAAAGTGCTTGCAAGTAATCGACAATGATTTTAAGCATTTTTGAGTAATTATTGCTTGGTAATTGAATTCTGCAATTAATTTCCTCGGTAATTGGTAATTGCAAGCACTTAGAATTTGATTTGGAGTTGAGGGTAGCCATATGTGAGTAGTACGGATTAACTTAGAATTTGCAAAGTACTTGATGCTGGCAATTACTTTTCCAAAGGGCTTGGTGCTTGATGCTCAAAGCACTTTTTTCAGTGCTATGCCCAGCTCTGTATTATTACATATTTTTTATTATCACTAATCCTAAATAATAAATACCCTAAGGGTATAAAGGTACAATATATTATTTATTTAACACTCAATACTTGAAATCGAATTCAAAAAAATGGGCAAAACTACTTTTGTGCATCGAATTTTTCCCCTACCCGAAATTTTTACTTTCGCGGGACTAATGCGCATTACAAACTAAGAACTAGTTTATATTTTTAGTACAATACTAGTTTTGTCAAATTCTGAATGATAGGTACCAGTTTTATTCGATTAACGTATTGATAAACGTAGTAAGTAAAACTGTATGTACCTACAAAAATAGATAGTTGTGTACGTAATTTATTTTTTTAATGGGATAATATACATAAAAATGATAGGCGCCTCCTAAACGTCTTCCATACTGCAGAGTCGACCGTCCGACATTTGTTGCATACTTATCCTTCTCATGTAGTTACTTAAGCGACAATGTCCTGTCATCAGTCCCTTAAAATTGCATAGGTTGTTGCTACTCCATTACCAAGAAATGGTTAATTAAATTATATTATTTTTTTGAAATTAAACAATTATTAATTACACAAAAAGTGTGAATTAAATAGTAAATAGTGCTATAAAATTAATTTTTTTTAACAGATTTGAAGGAAAACTAGTTTTTCAGAAAGTACATTTCTATTTAATCCATATGTTTTTGAATTTAATATTAATTCCTAATACAGGATATAAGTAATAAAACTGAATTTAAAAATACATCTGTATTTGACGTATAATCAAGAGAAAATAATAATATTGACTGCAAAATAACTTCATTCAGTGCGGAAACCAATAATTAATATTTATATGTTCCTTCAATTAATTATAAAAGTTAAAATCCAATAGAAGTGTGTATATTAGCAATGGAAATGCAAAGGTCAAAGAATTAACAGATAATCTACGACATTACACAAACGGATCTAACAAAATTGTGAAATTTCTCATATCATTGACGTCCATATAGCGTAAGAGGTCAGTAATTTGTCTATTGATGCGATAATTAATTATTCTGTGTACACACCGCTTTTTTAATCTTGGAATTGCCTGAGAAAATTGATTTAAATATTATTGATATTCCAAAAGAAAAAAGTGTTATCGTATTGCTTTTGGCAGTTATTAAACTTACAGACACACGTAATAAAATAAATGTCTTAAAATTCTGAAAATGGGTTGAAAGCTTCCTATGAACCGTTAATATTGTTGTTGATACGTTCTAAATCATTGATAGATTATTAATATATTTTGGAATAACAGTTAAAGGGGTCTATTCTGTAACAATTCCTTTATATTTAACGGCCTTTAAAAATATTGGCGGCCTTTAAAAATATGTTCGTATTCGTTAATTTACTTATGTCATTATTTAAACAGATTTCTTTAAGATAGTCCTCTAATGTATTTTAAAGATCCGTTTAAATAATGATAGAAGTAAAGAAGAAAATATTTAAAGTCCGTTAAATATAAAGGAATTGTTACAGAATAGACCCCAAAGTGCGTTCAATAAGTCTCCGGTCCGCTAAATCAATACCGTCAGCGACCTCGACACCAGAAACCACTTTTTAAGTGCTATAAGGATCCTGAACTTAAACAAAAACCACACCAAATACTGTATTGGTGTATAGGAACAAACAAGCATCTAAAATAGAGAAACTGAGTTGGCTTGGGCATTAGTAACGATATAACCTAACCATTGTATCGTCAGAAAGCTTATAGATTCAGGAAAATATGAGATGGGCGTTTGATGATTGAAGTTTTTATCCTGACTATAATCAGGAGTAACAAATTTAAAGAGTATCTTCCACTGTGGCCCGAATGAGTCTACTGTGGCTCATGCCTAAATTATACTCACATAGTTGAGTTGGGTGAGACTTGTTTAAAGTCGGTAGGCTCTAGTGTTTCATTCCAAAGCGAAGCAGGTACATAGAATGTGCTCTCCAGATTTGTCTTCCACATTGCAAAATCGACAGTCCGACTTTTGGTGTAGATCCTTCTCATGTGGCTACATAGACGACAATGTCCTGCCATCAGTTAAGTGAGGTTCCTTAGGTAGTTCCTACTCCATTAACGAATTTGAGCAGATGGTTGAGTATAAACGCTTTCCAATGAGTTGTCTCTTGGTATCTCTCCAGCACATGATTGTTACAAACTTTGTCCAGTTTGAGATAACTCTTGGCAATGCTCTTTGGAATGCCAATGAATGGTTCTGTTCCTATGAACTCAGATTCGGTTTCTCTTTTAGCGAACGCGTCGGATTTTTCATTGCTCTCAACACCGCTATACTCGAGGACGGGTTAATCTTAGTGACGAGCCAAGAAGAGGTGCACCTGTTGACCGAAGAACAAAAGGAAGCTAGGGTAAATTGGTGTCAAAAAACTTTGGAGCGCTTTAACGCTGGAAACTCTAAAAACGTGTACTGCATCGCAAGTGGTGATGAATCATGGATTTATTCATATAAACCTGAAAATAAACGCCAATCGTCTATTTGGGTTTTCCAAGGTGAAGACAAGTCGACAAAAGTGGTCCTTTTTCGAAGTGTGTCTAAAAAGATGGTCGCAACATTTGTCTCCAAAGCAGGTCATGTTGCAACAATTCCTCTGCAAGAGCAAAGAACTGTTACTGCCGATTGGTATATAACGATTTGTTTGCCATTAATCTTCGTAGAGAATACTTTGAAAAACAATGAAATGTTTAAACACTATCTGCTGTTTTATTCTAGGTCTATTAGTCCAAGAGCTAGTAACACACATTCCATTAAGTGTTTGATGCACTTTGAAAGTTTGTAATTTGAAATCATTTGGATGGAAAAGCAGATATACCTGTGTTGGCTAGACCCACCCCGGGACACCAGGTACTGCGCATAATAGAAAGGGGTCGTAAAATATGACCCAAAAAAAGTGTTTGATTCAGAGGCCAATAAACAACAATTGAAAGTTTAGGTAATTCTAAAAATACTAGTAATTTAGGCAGACACTTTTGAGAGGGTTTATAATTAATAAATCAACCCCAAAGTTGATTTTTTTTAAATATGATTTGAAGTGTTTGATTCACGCTGAAATTTTAATAGCGTCTTAATTAAATATAAAAAAAATTAATTCCAATAAGGCAGACACTTTTTCCGGGGTTTAATTGCCGGCCAACATAAAAATGAATGCGCCACTATGCATTGAATAAGTATATACTTTTTAAAAACTAAACCTTTTAGATTACCAAGACTGTGAAATAATAAAACAATAATATTTTTCCTTTTTTTTTTTTTAGGAAAAAAAAAAACAAAAAAAAAACTAAAAGTTCCGGGGCTCGAACCACCAACTTGCTATCCACACTATCCAAATTTTGCTTCGGTAGCTTTTAGTAGACTGCGGATTTACGAAAACAATTAAAAACTCGATTTTATTTACATGTCATCTTTTCGGGGGCGTTACCTCTTTAGGGGGTGGGCTCAGAAAATTTTGTTATAGAATATAAAAATACCCTATATATTATATTTTTATATTCATTTATCATTTACCATTTTCTCTTATACCTCTGGAAACTTAGATGCGATATTTTCACTTCATTATTTTAATAAAAGTTGGTTCAAATGATAACAAATCTCTATCATTCTATTTGTATACAAATGTACATACAAAAATTAAGAAAGACGTCAGTGATAAACAACATAAGTAATTAGACGTTATTTTCTTAAATTGGTATTTTTCGTCGAATTTAAAAAATATAATTATATAAGAATATATTGTTAATCTTTTGCGATTCAATGTTTTGCATTATCCTATTTTATATGAATTTATATGAGTTAGGGCGTGCTTCACAGCCTACTTGTACTCAATCCCTAAGCTTATTGTAGCCTCGTTCAAATATTGTACCTGAAGTCATTCCAGTTAAGGTACCATTTCGGTAGGCGCGACAGACGACCGCCGACGCGACATACGACCGCCGACACGACCGAGAAGTGTCGCTTCACATCTAAAATACATACAATTATATAAAACACATTTCGCATGGCGCGACACGACCGAGAAGTGTCGTGGAGACCCTTCTCGGTGCAAAGCTTTGATGCGTATCGCACTCGAGGTCACTGTCCTCGGTATCGCTTTTTTTTTGGGGTGATTCGGTCGGAAATTTCTTTAGATCTAGGCAGCGTTGCCAGATTTTGAAACAGTATGGGTAAAAAAAAACCGTAGATCTGAACAGTAGATTTTAATAAAGGGGAAAATAATTATAATTTGCAGTGTAGTAAATAAAAAAAACAAGTATATAAGAAACGAAAAATAAACTTTTTTCTACCCAAATTAGAAAGTAAACAAAGAATAAAAACATTTTTAATATATACTTAACGTACGGGAAAAAACCAATGAAAAATAATAAGTACCTACTTCTTTTAGATCAGTCTGAATTAGATAATTCAAAATCGTAGTGTTTGGCATATGCATGTTTTTTTTATGATGCCCTATTAATTCTTTGTTTCATTTTAAATAAAAACAATGATAATCTTGATGTTTTTTTTTATGGAGCCAACCTACAGTAGTGGATGCTTATTACGCTGCTTTTACTGCAAAAAATTTACTAGAGAAAATATTGTTTACCCATTTGCTGAAGAATGAGGCAAACTTAATAAATTAAGAACAAAATTTGCTAGAGACAAAAACAGTAGATCTACGTGAAAATAGTAGGTCTGGCAACGCTGATTGTTCCCTCGAATGCTTACGAAGGGTAAAATGTATGCACCTGTTGTCCTACTCGACCTTGGGGTCGGTTAAGTGGTCGCTTGACGTCTGACGCGCCTACCCAAATGGTACCTTTAAGAAGCGTTAGCAGATTCCTGCAGTTTTGTAGACCTTCAGCTCCACTCTACAATAAGCTTCTTTCCATTCCATTCGTTCAGAATGAAAATTGGTGCTTTTTGATACTCCGAGGAATAATTGGTATGATATTGATATGAATGGGCCTAATTAGGCCTAAGTGCCGTGGGGTAACCCACCCTCCACACATTACAGATACAATTGATATAAATTATTATTTGTGAGCTGATTTTGCCTTGCTACTACCATACCTGTTCTTGAATAACAGGTCTGGCGTTTAAGTTTTTCAATTCTTTGGGTGAAATAGAAATCATTATTTATCATTCCCTTCAAATATTGTTTTTTATTATGATCATTAATGATGGAGAAATGCCATAATATAATTTACCAAATACATGAGTAAATTATTAAACAGTATATTTTTGATTTACAGTATAACATTTTTAGGAATAAGTATAACAATGTATTCAATAAACCTAATCACTTTTGCCACGATCTTCCCAGCATAAAAAAATTTCACTTTAAACAGCAACGAGAAAAAAAAAATAAAAACCTTAGTTTTAAAGAAACGTCTTACTTTTTAGTAACTCGATACTTTTGTACTACTACTGCGTGCGTTACTTTTGTAGTATTGCGTAACTTTTGCAATAACACGTTACTGTAACTTTGTAAAAGTAAACTTTTCAATGTATGGCAACATTTGATTTTATCTAGAATAGTAAATTACATTACGAGTGGGGAAAGTGACATTTTTCACACGAGTGGGAAATATTGTCGCACGAGGCACAAGCCGAGTGCGACTATCACACGAGTGTGGAAAATCACTTTTCACACAAGTAATGTACAATATTTTTCCTACGACCACAAAATAATTTCATCAAAAAATGTAAAACCAGGTTAATATTATAATAATTAAAATTTATTTAAAAAAATAATCAACAATAATTTATTCAATTTTCATATTTTCTAAACAAATAAAAAAATTAAAAAACAAAAAAAAAATAAAAAACAAAAAAAATTCTGCCCCCGCCAGGATTTGAACGCGGTCGCTCGCCAGGTCTCAAATGGCAAAGTTGATAAGTTTGACACTCTAATCATCTGAGCTAATAGGCCTTAAGTCAATTGAATGATCTAATCGGTTGTGTTTAACCAGAATAAAAAGCAAACATATCTTAGTTATTTTAAAATTATTTTAATAATAATTGTTAAAGATAAATATCTAGGATCTAATTTACAACAATTTCTACAATTATTATTTTTTAATTAATAACAGAAAACCCTTTAACGGTTTTATAATCCGTCCAAATTCAGTTTCTGTAACAATTTATTTAGACAAATTATTTTTTTTATTTCCAGGGTAGAGTTTGCTTTAAAACTAGGCTACACCGAAAAACTCGTACAAGCTGCACTGCAAAAATTGGGTCCTTCGCCTACTCAGAATGAACTTCTGGCAGAGTTGATAAAATTGGGAGCTCAAAGAGGCAGTTCCTGCGATAGCAGTCCATCAGAAAGTACCTTGGATATGACGTCTTTCAATATAGATGCCATCGAAGGACCGCAGTCGTTACGTCCTATAGTTATAGATGGAAGTAATGTGGCCATGAGGTAAATAAAAAGTTATATAATTTGGGGAACTTCTAAGTACGGGAAAACACTAAAATAACTTTTGTTTTTCTTAATGAAATAATAATAACCAGTTTCTTCTATTCGACATTATCAAGAATTCTTCTTTCAATGTACCAACTTTGTTGCCAGAATTCATCACACTTTCCTGACATTTCATTACTGTATTATTTACGGATTGAATAATAGCTTTTTAATTACAATATAAAGAATATAAATTTGAGAAACAAGTATTACCATTATTATGACATGTTTTTAGTGCATGAGGTTGCTGGGGAAAATTCTTGGCAAGCACAGATGCTTTAAGGACTGTTTGTAACAACTGAACTGATACAGTTATTGGAGAAAATAAACAATGTGGTATCGGAAATCCAACACAATTCTTTTGACTTAATTTCCAAAGTCCGAGGTTCTTTATAAAGACGGGAGGGTAGTAGCATGTTAATAGCTTTGTCCCAACATCTCACAAAACCGTAATATTACGGTCATCGTCATGCGCAGTAAATAAAAACCTATCAATAAAGCCCAAAGTCGAACGGTTCTTATTTACTGCGCATGACGATGACCGTAATATTACGGTTTTGTGAGATGTTGGGACAAAGCTATTAATTACGCACGGCATATTGAACAGTTATTGTAATGTAGTGTTATTGGCTTTAAAAGCACATTGTTTGATTTTCGTTAAAAATATACTAAAAGACACGTCATTTTCGTGTTTTTGTCTTACTACCTGTTGGATTTTTTTAGAGCAAGTGGGAGGGTACCTATTATTAAATATTTCTTTTTTTGTATCGAACCGACAACAGCGCCCCTGAGGTTGGTTTAACAATCAAGCGTAGACTACTCTGAATTAGTGTGACGTAATTTGTGTCCAAAAAAACCAACCATTATGACATTGATCTTGACATAGGTTTTAATTTTTTATTGTTTTACAGAATTGAGTACTTGATTATTTGACTAAAATGTTATCTGCTTAGGAAAAAATTTTCAGACAAAATTACTAAATATCAGTTTAAAAACCGTTATTTGGTCTATAAACAACTATGTTTGACACACAAATTATGTAAACGATGGTGGTCAAAAAAAGAGGTAATTGACTCATTTTTAAATTTTAGAATTCAATGCTAAAATTGGTTCCATTCGTTTTTGGACACTCTTGTCACTTTTAATATGTACAAATATTCCAATAACACCCTGTATATAGTCATTTTATTTAAATATGAACAAAATTTTTAATTTAATGGTTTTCTGAATTTTGAGATTCACCAAATAATGTGTGTCCATAATGGACCTGATGAGATATATCATTAAATATGTGGCCAGATTGTAAGGTGCTATTCCTTACTTTATTTTGAAAAATAACTAAAAAAAAAAATGTTTTTCCTTAATAACCAGAAGACGAAAAATTTGTTCTGGATTTATCAATGGAGTACAGGCATCGCATCCTAATTTGTCAGTAGTGGGGTAAAGTTTGCGCATTTCTGATATACCTTCAAACGAGTTTACTGGCTACTATTAAAGCTCAGTAGCGTATACTACTTTCGCTTATAAAAAATATTCTAGGATTTTCAAAACGATCACGGTCAGATTAATCACAAAATTATAGTGGGTGCAAGTACCATAGATTTATAAAAAACTTAACGAAAATTCAGCTCCTTCAATAATTTATAGTGTTGGTTTTTTTGAAAGTCAGTCAAAAGTTTGTCACAAGTAGGAATTTCATTTGTACTGTTTGTCGAATCGAATACACATTTTTGTATTTTTAAAATATTGTCTAAAGTTGTTCTGGGTCTTTATATATATATTTTTTTTTTTTTTTTTGAAGCGTGACTTCATTATTTGCTTTGTATTTAGCCACCACCTTGTACATACTGCTCACAGATTCACCTACAACAATATACAGGGTGTCTGTAAAAGGTCTTTACAAAAACATACCACATATTCCTTAGACCAAAATAAGTCGATTTAAGTAAAATTACCTTAGTACAAAGTTGCTTCGTTTGGGCTCCATAGGGCCTTGAAGTTACAATTTTTAAATCGTTTTTCCCATATAAATTTAAAACGGCATATGCGATTTTACTGAAATTTGGTATGTTGGTAGAGTTTTATGTGGCAAAAAAAATGGTATTAAAATTTTGTCCGATAATAATACATAGGCGTAGAACTTGATTTTTAAATAATTGCACCTTTAAAAATTCTACGCCAATGGAAAAAAAGGAGTTTGAGTATGAAATTTAGATTGCACAACTCATTTACTTTAGAAAAGGTACTCTTGATAAGACTCGATTACTCTCATGGTTTTGACGAAATTTGCATTTTAGTAATTTTAGAACATAAACAATAATTATTAAAATACAAACTTTGTCAAAACCATGAGAGTAAATCGAGTGTTATGAAGGGTACTTTTTTGTAGTAAATTTCATACTCAAATCCCTTTTTTGCCATTGGCGTAGAATTTTTAAAGGTTCAATTATTTAAAAAATCAAGTTCTACGCCTATGTATTATTATCGGACAAAATTTTATACGATGAAAAACATAAAAATGTACTTTTTTCATATCTTCTTCAACACCTCTAATCGAGACTTTTAACAAAAATACTCGATTCTTGCCATGTACGATTTTTTGAGGAATATTTGCCTGCAATACGTATACAAAAACATTTATTGTTGGTTTCCATAGTTTCATCTAAATAAAAATATTGTCAAGTTTTAACACCTAATCTCTTGTTAACGATTGAAAGTGTTCTATCTGACTCAATATTTAAAAAAACAAATGCGTGGTTTATTAATATGGCTGTACAATATACCAATGCAGAATATACCGATATGTTACTGACATTAGGATTTTGTGAAGGAAATGCTCGAGAGAGTGTCAGGGTGTACTGTGAAAGGTTTTCAAATCGTCGTGTACCTAGCCACCCAACTTTTGCTGCTGTTGAGAGACGTCTTCGGGAGACCGGTTCCTTTGCTCCCAACACTGTTGATAATGGAAGAGAACGTTTTGTAAGGATTCCTGAAGTTGAAGAAGACATTTTAGAACGTGTTGAAGAAGATCCAGAATTAAGCACCAGACGAATTGGAAGGGAACTAGGAGTAAGTATAGATGTCGTTCATAAAGTGCTTAGAGAACAATTGCTATATCCATACCATAAGAAGCCAGTACAAGAATTATTAGTCCATGATCCTCAAATTCGTTTGGGTTTTTGTCGATTTGTTAATATGCAAAGAGAAAGAGATTCGAACTTTGTCAAGAAGGTTCTCTTTACCGATGAAGCGGGTTTTACAAGAAGAGGTATAACTAATACCCATAATGAACATGTTTATGCCGTTGAAAATCCGCATGCAATAAAGGTAAACCATTTTCAGCACGAATTCAAAATTAATGTGTGGGCTGGAATAATTGGTAATTTCATTGTTGGTCCTGTCATACTTCCACGAAGATTAACTGGAGAAAATTATTTGGATTTTCTACAAAATACGTTGCCAGAATTGTTAGAAGATTTACCTCTCCAACTTCGGAGAGATATGTGATTTATGCAAGATGGAGCTCCACCACATTTTTCTTTAAACGTTAGAAACCACTTGAATGAACAATATCCACACAAATGGATAGGCAGAGGTAATGAAGCACCTGTAAACTGGCCACCACGTTCCCCAGACCTAACACTGATGGATTACTTTTTATGGGGACATCTGAAATCCACACAGTTTACAGGGAACCTGTAGAAAATGAGGAATAACTCTGGCAACGTATTCAAGATGCAATAAACAATCTTAGAGGTGATGAAGAAGTTATGGAAAGGATACATTTTAATTTTCTTCGACGTATAAATCTTTGTATGCGTGAAAATGGTGAACATTTTGAACAATTTTTGTAAAATCTCTATTTTGATATGTTGTAAATAAATATTTTTGTGAAACCTATACACTCTAAATTATTAAAACAGAAATTTAGCGAAAACCATGATAGTAATCGAGTCTTATCAAGAGTACCTTTTGTAAAATAAATGAGTTGCGCAATCTAAATTTCATACTCAAACTCCTTTTCTTCCATTGGCGTAGAATTTTTAAAGGTGCAATTATTTAAAAAATCAAGTTCTACGCCTATGTATTATTATCGGACAAAATTTTAATACCATTTTTTTGCCACATAAAACTCTACCAATATACCAAATTTTAGCAAAATCGCATATGCCGTTTTAAATTTATATGGGAAAAACGATTTAAAAATTGTAACTTCAAGGCCCTCTGGAGCCCAAACGAAGCAACTTTGTACTAAGGTAATTTTACTTAAATCGACTTATTTTGGTCTAAGCAATATGTGGTATGTTTTTGTAAAGACCTTTTGTAGTTTATATTTTACATTGACGAAATTGTAAGAATAAGATATTTACAGTTTTGTACGTTGCTTACCTGAAGCAGTTGAGGTGAAATTTACGTTGTTTGTTTTATTAGAATCAAGATGTTGTAGTTAACAGGTTTTATGGATTTTAACTATAGCAAGTTTTTCGTGTGCCGATATATGCTGGAATTGATTCATATCTTTGCTGATCCATTATTGATACTGTAAAAAGAAGGTATGATATTACGCAAATTCATACTACATCACGGTGACATATTGTGGTGTCAAGGCGTGGCTTTTACGAATTTGAGGTATTTCAATCTGCTCATGGTTAATCAGATAGTCATAATCCACTCTACATTACGTCATGCTCGAAGTAGATGTGATTTTGTCATACCTGTGTAATTTTTTGTATATATCATGCACAAAATGAACCGTCCTCCGCCACTGCACACAAAAATATATAAAATGTATTTAGCAGGCTATGATAAGCCCGTTTTATTACTCCGATTGTTCGGTAATCCGAAGTATAGCACTATTACTTTTTAAATAAATCGGTACAAATTTAGTGACTTATTTTCTCAATATTGGTTTAAAAAACAAAAATAATTATTTGTATGTCTAGTCTATCCAACGCGGGGTTAAGGCTACAAACACGATGAATTTTTTCCTCACCCAGTATATATCTATATATAACATATATCTTTATATAACAAACTTCTTCCTTTCAGCCACGGCAATAAAGAAATTTTCTCCTGCCGCGGAATTAGAATTTGCGTCGATTGGTTTAAAGCTCGAGGACACAAAGATATTACGGTGTTTGTTCCAAAATGGCGCAAAGAATCGCCACGACCGGATAATCTGATTCGGGATCAAGATATTTTAGCTGAATTAGAAAAAGAGAGGCTGTTAGTGTTTACTCCTTCGCGATTAGTAGGTGGCAAGAGGATGATCTGTTACGACGATAGGTAAGTCAATTTTAATAATAAAGAGTTTAGCAAACATCCGCTAACGTTACCTTAGCGATTTACTGTAATCTACCCCTTTGAATGTTTATCAAAAATGTCACAATCTAAGTTTAACGTAACGTTAGCGAAGATCTTTAATAATAGAGAGTTAAAGCAACGCTACAAATGTATACATATCTATCTGACGTAAACGTAGAAATTGACGATACGTTTAACGTGTAATCTGAAAGAAAAAGATAGTTAAAGCAAAAACATTGACGTTTACGTATCTACAACTTACAATTGTAGGGTACTTTTTGAGAAAAGTATTGTTAGTTATACAGAAAATTTTAATTCTAGGTGGTTTTAATTACGATGATAATGATGATGATATTTAGATTATGCTGTAAGGTTACAAATTCTACATGATGTAAAAAATTTGGAAAATAAGTGTTTTTTATTAGAGATTCAATTTCATTAACCTGTTTGAAATTGAATGAAAGAGTTTCTTTCGATTAAAAAAAGCGGCATAATTAGACTTGTTAGAGGGTTCTTTTGGCATGCCAAATATGATTACAACAAATGATCCTAGCAATTGTTTTCTGAAATATTTTTTGTGCATATATAAATTACAAATAAATCTTATTTCATATTATGGTTCAAAATTTGGAAAGCACATAACATTATAAGTTACAATTTGTCATTAGTTTTATTAATCGGGTGCGATCGGATGCTCCCGAAGTATTTGCTCGGCTCGATACGAAATCGTATGAGGCATACATAAGAACTCGTACGTCAGACTTAGATACGTATGGAAAATAGCTGTTGCGCATGCGTAGATGTCATTAGATACGTTAATGTATACGCTGCTGGCATTATTTTAACTCTCTAATGATCGTTCATTCCTTTACAATCTTGTTTTTGAAAAGAGGCTAAAATGAACGAATTGTTTCAATTTATTATTAATCCAATAAAAATCCATTGTTAACTAATAAAATTTGTACAGGACATTCTTTTAATTTTTTTGACAGAGCTGTTAAAAAAATATGCCTGGCACGTAAACTAAAATAGTAGTTGTAAAATCGATCGGAAAATGATCGATTATTTAAAACACCTTTAATTGTGTTCTAAGAACTGAGTATCTAATTATAATTAAATTTCAAAGACGAATTAATACTACTATAGTACATTTTTAAAATCAACTTCTCATAATTTTTCAAATGAGTTGCCCACTTTCGCTATTTAAAAAAATGGAGGGTATGGCTATCACCTGAAAGAGGTTCATAGAAATACCAAATTTTAGGTACCGCCAGATACTCCAGTTTCTTTAAAAAGTGCTTTTCACTAGGCTTAATCCTCTCATGATATATTACTGTATATAATTTTTAATCATGTAATTTAGTATTGTATAATTATATTTTATAGTTTATGTTGTTGTGGCTTTAACATTATTGATTGAAAAGGAAAAATAATTCAAATTCGAATGTGACCAAGACGTGAAATAAAAAACATTATCTCAAATCCATGTGTCACAAAATAATACGACCGTCCGTTTCCCCACTGGAAAACAACTACTCCTTTGGTTAATATCACCACAGGCATTGTGATATATCAAAATAAAAAGCGCAGAGCTAGAACATTATTTTCAATACTCTAACTTTAATTTTGATGTCCTGATAAGGACAAAACCAGTCGAAGAATGACTTGTTCCTTAGTAAACAGATATATATCAGTTACTATTAACACATTGCGTGCCATGTCTTTCATATATGAAAGACAGTGATATTTCTGCAGATACCACATATTTCATTTTTGTCAGACAGGTACGGTTCTTACTATTCATGGTGATGCCATTCAAATATGAATGACGCCAGAGTGTATTTTAATGGGGAATCTTAACCCTTAACTACCATGGTAGAAAATGTAACGGTCATACCATAATTGACCACATTATTTTTTAAATGGCTGTGATTTTTTTTGTGGAGATTGTAGATGGATTATGTTTTGGAAACCATAATAATGTGTTTAAAGAAAAAAATATTAATCAAATCTTCTGATTTTTATTTTTAATGCATAATAAAATGTCCGTTTTACAAAATAAATCATTGTCATGGATATTTTTAAAAATTTCAAAACTAAAATATCTTCTTCCGTTTTTGGATGGTTTTGGGTCGATTAAAGACTCAAGGATCCTCCCTGTAACAATTAAATCATTTTTTTATTTGTTTTAAAAATGACAGACATATCTAGACCCTACCTCACATGTAACTCGACAGCCACTGAATAGATAAACTGGCGTCTCCACATATCGAGAGATTAACACATGCTCAAAGATTAGACGGACGCATGCCTATGCCTATCAACGTTTCATTCGCACTATGTACTATTCAAGAGGTGGGGGATAAAATTTGGCCCCACCATGGTACTTAAAGTATTAACTGAGGACTCTGCCGAATATACTACAAAAGTTGATTCGAAAAAAAAAAAGGAAAAACAAAGTTTACTAGTGGAAGGTCCACAAACTATGTGTTTTTGTTAACATATTTATTTCTTACTTATTATGATCATAATATAATACTTATGGATACACAAAAATATAGGAAAAAGAAGAAAAAAGTTTATTTGTGTTTCTCATTGAAACATAATAAACACATTTGTGGATGCTTAGCAAATATCTCTCGAGAGGTATAAAACATTTTGGCCCGTTTTTGTATGTATTTTGTACTAAAATAAACTATTTTTATCCCTTTTTATGTTTTCCTCCTTTTTTATTTTTTTGTTGTCTTTCATATTAGAAAGACGTGGGTGGCCTTAGGCAGAAAAATCCACCATCTTTCCTGTAGGATCACTCCTTTCATACACGAAAGAGCCAAAAAAAATCAATTATATTAACAAAAAAGAAGTAAAAAACAAAAAAATGCCAATATCATAGTTTATTTCAGTACAAAATACATACAAATCATTTAAAATAACAGTTTGGCCCCAGCGTTAATACTCTAATGACAACTTGGAACACTCTCTATCTACAAAAAATTATCGCTGCAGTCTTCTTAGTCTAGATCAAAAATAATGTTATCCTACAGCCTTTTTTTCTTCAAAGTAAACGTGTTTTTCCTGTGACTTTTCCAGGTACATTTTGAAATTAGCAGCCCAAACGGATGGCATAGTTGTCAGTAATGATAACTACAGAGACTTGTGTCAGGAGAATGCTGAATTCCGTAAAGTAGTAGAAGAACGAATCCTTATGTTCTCATTCGTCAGTGATCATTTCATGCCACCCGATGATCCATTGGGTCGATCCGGTCCCACGCTGGATAACTTCCTTAAGTATCAACCAAAGAAAGGAGATCCTCCACCGCCCTGTCCTTACGCGAAGAAGTGCACCTATGGAAACAAATGCAAATATCATCATCCAGAAAGGGGACCTTTGCCTCACAAGAGCGTTACTGAGAGGTTGTCTGAGCATGCCCAAAGACATCTACAGGTAATTTTCAATATATAATTTATATTTCTTACTACTCTTTTCTCAAATTTAAAAAATATTTAGTTACTCATGGAATTAATATTTTTTTGCAGGCAAGAGAAGGTGATATTCGTAAAACTCCTCTAGGCCGAACTCGGTCTAACATACCACCTCCCAAAGAACCTCAACATACTGTAGTTTCCAAAAGTCGTAGTGTCGATAATGTAGGTACTTCATATATTCAGCAGCCACCTCTTCAGGAGAACCTTCACAAGAAACTTCAACGTCAGTTAACCTTAAATCCTAGTGCAGATCCAGGATTAAACATGAGGTATTCAGGACCGCCACACGGACAACAAGGCGGTGGTCAAATAACGCTAACAACGGGTCCACCCACTCCACCTTACATAAATCCACCTCTTGGCTGGGACGTGCATCATCAACATGTAACTAGAATTGCTTCTGCGCCTGATTCGTACAGGCCGTGGCCACCACAGCAGCATCCTCAGCATAGGTAAGGACCCAAGAACATCTCATTCATGTACATATTTTATTTTGTTTGTCTGTCACTGAATGTATTCAGCGAGGCAAATCGGCAACAGGGCTCTGTTTATGCAAAAACAAACAATGAATTGGCGGAAATATGACGATTATTTGACATATGTACCCAAAGGACCAGTTGAAGCTACTGTATAGGCGCGAACTAATCAGTGTTGCCAATAGCTCTTAATCGATGGGTCTTTACTTTTGAAATGAGTATCGTAGTTAAAGTATTACAATTGAAAAGTACAATGATTACAAAAATATCAAACTATAAATTAATTTGAGGTACAAGAGTTTAATTGTAAGTATACATAATGTAAATGTGTATGATGTTTGTTCAATAAAAATAATTTTTTTGTTCAACTGTCAAAAAAGATGGACATTTATTGTTTGCTATGGATGGGATGGTGACGTTTTGTCCCCACCGTTCCGCCCCTGCCGTTTTGTCCCCGTAATTCCACCCTGGCCGTTTTTCCTCCCCAGTGTCGATTGGCCCTCACCCGTTTTACCTTCATAAATAACAATAAAATTTCAAGTATGTCTAAATAATTAAAAAAATCCTAATAAGCCCTCGAGTAAGAAATGTAATAATTATATCTACTGGAAAATGAGGAATTTCCTGAAAATGCAGTGCCCGTTGTTGATTATTTTGAAGACTGTGCTACATACTGAACTTCTGTTAATTTATTTGTTAGGCATTGCCAATAATTTTGAATAAAAATTCTTATTTTAATTTAATTGGCTTCATTTTTATTTACAAAAATTATTAGGGGCAAAACGGTAGGGGGACAAAACGTCTAAGAGCGAAACTGCGTGGAAAAAACGTTGAGGGCTAAACGGTGGGGCGAAAATAAATATAACCACTAAGGATACGTAAGTTAGGCCATTTTTCAGATCTATTCTGGGATTCCCTTATTTAGAGTTTGTCGTCTAGATTGGTCTTTTTTATTAGACTTAGTTGCCTTGACAGTGGCATCCGCATTTAGTTACATATGTCTGGCTTTTCTTTATCTAGTATTAGAAACTTCAATCTAGTTAGGCCTTTACACTAGTGCAGGAAGATACCTTGGGAGATTCTACTTCCCTCGAGCTTAAAAAAAAATATTTAAAAATTTAAAAAGAACATTATTTTGTAAAAGGGAAAACTTTTTAGGAGATACATCGGGAGATACTACTTCTCTTGAACTTGCGGTCAGTGTTGTTGAACTAGAGTGGATATCGACTCTTAAAAAAAAAAAAAAGAAAAAAAAAATATCTAAGAAATTTAAAAACACGTTATTTTGTTAAAGAGGGAGGTACGTCGGGAGATACTGCTAAGCTTGATCTTGCTATCAGTGTTTTTTAAAATGAGCTGATAACATCACTTATTGGATTATTGCTAAGCAAAGAAAATAAATAAAAAAGAAACTACGAAATATTTTTTTCTTGAATGACCTTTTTTGAACTGTACCTGTAGAATCATCATACGTTTCCACATAAACATTTTCTATGGCACTTGCCTCAACCAAAGTGTTAAAAAAGTTTGTATGTTTTCAATAATGGGTTTAGTACAATCAAAAACGTTTGTGTTTATTAAACTACAACTGGGAGGCAACAGTTCTAAGCTATTTTTTCAGAATATTTTGAACCTCAATAATTATTTAACTAGGTGTAAGTAGGCGTTTGCAATAAATATTTATAAATGATCTTTTACCTATATCAATACGAAAGTATGTATATAAAGCCATTTGTTTATTTACGCTATTGGCAAAATATTGAATTTCAAATAAAAGGTCCTATTATTATACTTGTCTCTCGCAATCCTGTAAATGTATATACCATAAAATAACCAGTTTCTATAATTAGATATTTTTAAATCAAGAAATAAATAAAAACCTAGCACAGTTTCTGCCGATGGATATCTACATTATTTACATATTGATTTTGACATAACCTACCCGTGGAAAGAGTGAGCATTGGTTTTGGTCCAAAATTTTCGGAAAAATATGCATCTCTTTATTATTTTGAAATGTCTAATCACGTTTGTAAAGAATTGCTTTTATATAAATAAATAAAACCAGAATATTCCACTAAAATAAAACGCCGAACAGCACTTTTAGAAACATACATAAACAGGGTTGCCAAATGTTCAGTTAAAATATAGTATTTAATGGTCAAACTGATGTATCGTAGTGAACAAAATCTAAAAACATCTAATTTAAACACCGATTCAATACAGAAAAAAATTAAATAAGAAATTTTATGAATATGATCCAGATTCTTAAAAGAACTGTTAAATATTTAGCTCCATATTAACTGTTTTGAAACATTGGTAACTAATCATCATTAATATCCTTATACATTAAGCCAAAAGAGACACTGTGGCAACCTCTGCTGGTACCACTGTTTGTTGTGCATGCGATTGTGGACTTTATTATCATAGGACAATTGTTTATTTAAACAAAGCGTATCTATTCCAATACATGATTGAATACCTTTAGCTTCATTAAGGTACGTTCTCCTACAAATTCGCTGGTCGCTGGTAGCCGCTACCGGGTAGCTGCTACCAAGTCGCCAAGGTACTTCCAATGGAATTTAATCAGACTGTTCTACAAGCTACTAAGTAGCTGCTACCGACGACTGTTCGCTGGTCGTTGGTCGTCAGTTGTTTGTCTGCTTCGAGAGCAGAGCAACGTCCCAAATCGTAGCGAATTAGTTGCTTTTTGTTCATTAGAACATCATTCTTTATCAGATTCAGTAAATAATTAAACTGATATCGTGAAATACGAAAAAATTCTTTAAACTTAGTTTCATTATCTTTAAGATGACTTTTTATTAAAATTAATTGAAATTCTTCCGTTTGTCTATTTTTAAACATAGGCAATTCTTTCTTTCTGCGTTTCTCATTATCTAGTATTAAGAGTAAAATCACATTTTCCTCTTGAACTTGGTAATCTAACAACATTAAAATCGTTGACGGCCTCAAATCAATACCTCGTATGTCCAAGTTAAACATTTTGGAGGAGGAACATTAAACTGTCTTGATTGCTTAATAAAGCTAATTAATTATTTGGTAAATAAATAATGTTGACAAGTAAATAAATGTATGAATAACCTATGAACGTGGTTATATTTTTATTTTTAAAATTTTGTTCTAAATTAATTTGTATAGATGGGAAAAAGTAACAATTCGATATTTCGGACTTACGAGGTATTAATATTAATTTTTCACACTGGAAGATATTCGCCAGCGTCTACAAATATGTGTGTAGGAGAACACTACATGCCTTTGCGACTTGGTAGCAACTACCCGGTAGCGGCTACCAACGACCAGCGAATTTGTAGGAGAACGTACCTTGGCAACTTTTCATACACTTTCTCGTAAATACTGTTGCCTCTTTATCTATTCTGTGCACATATATGGTAATCCGGACATCATATGTCCTGATAGCTGAGTTAGTAAAGGCACTGTGGGTAAAACACGAATAGGTGGGTTCGAATCGCAGTCCAGGACAGACTTTTTAGGGGGTTCAAAAATAATTTTCAGTATTTGGTAGGGGTAATTTAAAAATAAATATTTGGTGATTTCGGATCAATAACTGATATAGTTTTCGAAACTAAAACTAATTTTTCTCTGACAAAAATAATTATTTTGTAGTTTCAAATGTGAAGAAGTTTTTGCACTCTTTTTCATTAGCTTTACAGTATGATTGACTTGCGCTTCTGAAAGAGAATTTTGTTATGCTGCCTCATAGAATCTTATTTTTCTTAGTCTCCCGTTTGTTTTTCCATGAATGATAAGATGTTTGCATAGTAGTATAATGTCAAACTTGAGATTTAATTTTGATCAGTTTAATTTAAGAGTAATTACATTTTTATCACAATTATTTATGAAGTATTTTTGCCTTTATTTTTATTATTCATATTTTTACAGACATATGCAGAGAATATCGAGTTGTTCAGACACCCAACTTAACGTTTGGCCTACCGGTTGGTCGCAAGGTAGCTCCCACCACATGTCAAGCTCTACCGTCCAGGAAGATACTCGTAGAAAGTTACACTATCATCTGGCAGCGATCTTTCCTGAAGAGCAAGTGACACAAGCCATGCAAATGTATCCAGACGAGACGAACCCCCAGAAAATTTGCGCGGCTATATTGTCGATGTTTCCAAAATCGTAGGAGGTATAAGTACATTGATGATTTCTAAGACTTGAAATCGAGAAAGAATGCATATATTTAATTTTTGAATCAATGAGTGAGAATTGTTTTTTGTTCTCTTAATTTTTAAACAATTGATTCTTATTCTGAGAAATATTAGCATTATTGATTCACAAGCCTCGGGTCAGGGCGAAAATACCCTATTTTAATATATTTTTGACTAACGAGGCGAAACTCATTTATATGGACTGAAAAAACAATTATATACTATTATGATTTTACTAGTGTATATCCTAAATACCCTTTTCTATTATAAATATACCTTTTTTCTCATTTTATTGTAGAAATATCTTTAATTTTTGTAATTTTAATTATTCAATTGATAGCTCTAGAAATTTCTTTATTAAATTGTTATCGTTTATTTAGGCTGCTTTAAAAGAGAATAATTTAGACATTTTAGATTTTGTTATTTAGTATCTAGTGTTTGATTTGAAATGAAAATTATTTATAGTCCATTATGCTTTTTAAATGAAGGCAAAGAACTGCTATATGTAGCGACACTTAACAATGAACATACATACATTATTGTCTTGAGCAAATTGTATTTATAATTAATTTTTGAATGTAGAAATTATAAATACAAACCTGCATAGTTTGTATTCATATTTTATTAATTTTAACATAAACGAAACATTTAATCAATATTAAACAGTATTAGGATGATTAAATAGTTTACCACTGACATCAACACATTCTAAAGTGTTTTTAATACAAGAACTGTGATAAGTGAGAGTGAGAGTATTACAAAATTTCCTAGAGGGAAAACTTGAGAACACACTTGGGCCTATTATCAGCTTGACAATAACGCTAGAAGAAACAAAACTAGCTGTTCTGTTTGCGGCAAAGCTCAAACATTTTTATTTACAAGTTGACAGAAATAAAGAAATCTAGTTCAGATAAAACATTTTTTCTTATTCGTTCCGTCCTAAATTTGGCACAAAGGAATGCTTATGGAATCACCTATCGTCTGACTAGCACAGGCAGTCGTTACTGTAAAATTACTTTTATCTTTGGGTTCAGTTTTGGGGGGTTAAATTGGAAGTTATAATAAACATGTATGTAATAATATTCGGCACTTTTAAGCTGGTTCCATATTTGGACCCTTAAGTCTAAGTAAACTACAAGTCGATCAGACTTTCGTTCTAGAATTATCTTGCCGGTGAACATATGCACAGACTTACAGACATTTTTTTGCTTTTATGATCGGAAACGTGGAGAAAAGTGGGAGTAAAAAAATTTTTCATCGGCATGTATGCAATACTGATGACCCTTGGTAAAGCAGAACTCATTAATTTGTAAATTTAACAGCACCAAATCTGTCTGAAAAAGCATAAAAATATAACAATACTCTCGTTACAAATAAACACCTTAAACAGAACTTGTCAGTTAAAATAAAAATGTGTCTGTTCTTTGCCTTCGTATTTTAACATAGATACAGTATTTCCAATTAAGCAACTCTTAAAAAGAAATTCATTTAGAACAATTCTTTGATGCCTCTTAGGAAATTATAACTACACCAGTACCAGTATGATGTCTCAATATACAGTGTTTCATAGAGTTCTTGTAACCATTGTTAAATATAATTGATTTCAAAATGATTATTATAAACTATTGATATTCAGTTGATGTACAAAAAATTATCTGTTCCTCAAGGCGCCCAGTATTATTTCACTTTGGTACATTTACTTTAGCGATACTCTGTACATTAGCTGTGATAAAATGAGACATATTTCAAACACTTGAAGCTCCAATTTTTTACCTGTAATTTTTACTATATTTTTAAGCTAATAGTGATGATAAAACAATTTAAAATTTGGTAATCTAGGAAATTGTGATAATTCAAAATTAAATTTAACAGTTTCTCTACACTAGCGAGAGCCCCTCAACGAGATGTGCGTACCATCTTTTATGCCGGTCAAGATATAGTGTAAGTTTATTATTGCTATCTGTTTGAATGGTAAACAAACTATTCAGATTTGCATGAACTAATTGAGGTTATAGTTAGAAATATCTAATTTATTAATTGTATTAGGAATGTAATTACAGTCCATTCATTTACTTTACACCAATATTCAATTAAGAGGAATAAAGCTAGACATGACTAAATTAAAAAAAAATCAGAAAAAGACAAAATATTATAGGTTAATAATTATTTTAGGAAAATGTTAAATTCGGCTAGTTCTAAGTCGAAAGTCAGTCAAAATTATTAATAATCGCCATTGGTCGAACAGGCAATTTTTTTTTTTAGGCCATTTTAGATCTTTTGAAACACATTTCAAAATACTTTTTTGCCCTGGAAATGCTTCAAAAAATTTTTTTCACTGCATTTTGTCCTTCCCTTTTTCTTTTGCTAACAGTACAATAAGTAAAATTAATCTCATAATATTTGGAAATATTATCTTCTAAAAAGTGTAGCTTGCAAACAGCATCACTTCTAGAAAGTGCTTTATCAGGCCCAGGAATGATATGATGCAACTGTTCTAAACGTTTAGGATCCTATAAAAAAACATTTATAATGATAAAATTAGGATTTAAAAAAAATAAAAGTAATTCTTTAACTAACATCAAAACTTTGAAAAAAAAAACATTTTCTTTTCTAGTAAGTTAAATTTAATGTAATTTTTGTTGTTTGTAAGTCGGGATTTTTGACTGTATAATTTTATATTGTAGAAATTTGTAATAAAATAAACTATACTTTGTAAGATTCGGGTTGTTTACAATAAATATTATATTAAGAAATATATTCAATATTTTACCTACACTAGGAGATTTAAAAAGACTGAATTGATTTATCCTTGTGTTTTCTTTAGTTTTAAATCTGATTGATATCCCGTTTTACAACCTGGAACGAAGTAAATATTTCACTCATGTTGCTTGTACTGGGGTACTTTTTTTCACATTATTTTGTTTCTTTTCGCCAATTAAAAAAAAACACTTTATTTAATAATAATAATAATAATAATAATAATAATAATAATAATAACGTTTATTTGCAGATTTATATTGATAAATAAAAAAATTACATATACATTAAAATAAAATTATGCTACAAAAAAGAGACAGCAGACCTGATACAAAGTGTTATCCCTTAAATTAATTTTATAAATTAATATCACATTGTATACTGCTTAATTTAATTAAATATAATTAACTTTAATTTAACACAATTAAACATAATTAAATATTCTCAAATACCTGTATGTATCTTCATATTTATCTAGAACTCACTCTTCTGGTATTTGTCATGTTTTTAAAATATGTTAGAAAGCGACGGAACCTATATTTCATCAAAGACGGGCAGAAGTCTGTCCCTGTCTGTCTTATTTTGAATTATGAAAGAAGACAAGAAAAATTAATTCGCCGCATATTTCACTACTTAATTAAATATCGGTGTAAACTAAATGAATGGACATATGAAAATTAATAGGAATCAAATACGGAAACAAAAAATTAATTCATTAAATCTTTTTATTTCACACAAATGTTTTCTCTTTATATTAAATACAAGTTTGTACAAATCTCATTTTGGGTATCTTATCTGCATTTATAATCAGATTACGGGTAATATTGGTATGTCTTTCATTATACCTTGACAGGCATAATACGCTGTTTCCTACATTGGTCGCTACTAAGATGACGCTCGTGACATTCGACCCACGTCAAAATGACAGGACTCTGCGCGAGTCATCTAGTGTAATATTTATTTATAAAGTATGGTGTTTTTAGAATTTTGAGCTATTAGTGTCAAAACTACTTGGATAAAAATACTCATTACATTGTTTTGGAAACGTATGGAGAAATGGACTCAGGTCTGTTTAAAGCCAGTATATAGTTAATGAATAGAAAGTTTGTCTTTTCAATTTTTGTTTTAACTTCAAAGATGTTTATTGCTAAAGTTAGGTGCTTCATTTTCTTTGGTATGTCATAAGAGAATTAGAATGCGCCTAATTTTTAAATTTGAGAATAAACCACTTTATTGAAGTGTCTTATGTAAAAGTGAAATATATTTAAATTTGTCAGAATTACAGTCGATATTGGTGTTAAAACAAATTGCTGAATGAATAACTTTTAACGAAAACGTAAATATTGATAAGCAATGTGTATCATGTCAAAATAATTTGATTGTGAAACTTTTCTGTTAATGGTAATTCATTCTTTGTGCTGCAACTTATTAAGATTAAAAACCGTTTAGATTAAGATTAGGAAAACAACTTCATATTGAAGGTTCTAAAAAATGCTTTCGAATGATTGTAGTTTTTAATGTAATTAATATTTTTTTTACACTGATAAGTTGATACTATGTATCTCTAGTAAAATTGTTGCAATTTTTGAATTATAGTATAGTATGTTGCAAATTTTAGTTGACCATTCCCGTCTTAAAAATGTTGGAATGTACATCTAAAATTTATTACTAGCCCTGTATCAATCTACATTGTTTAATCATAAATGTGTACTAATCCATGAATTCTTACATGCAGAGCATTTGTCAGGTTTCCTAAAATTCAATATTAGTAATAATTTTAGAAAACGGTAATTTTTATGTCTAAATATTCTTATCAATTTTTAAGATTCTAATAAATCGTCTAGTTTCAATATTTTTCTAAATCTTATTTATAGTTCTAATGGGTGATAATGCAAAGGAATGGCACTCATGTATGGTATCCTAGGTTTCGAATGATTTCCTTAGGTTTTTAATGTGTTGATTTGGGATCAGAAGAAGCAACTTAACTTTTATTATTTAGTTCAGTTCCTGAAAATATTGCTTCAGTTTCAGAACTGTCAGCAAATGCTGCAATTAAAAATATAATTAATGCAGGTAAATCTCCTGACTGATGAAAATGAGTATAGACGATTTGAAAGGTTAATAATGTAGCTAAAAAAAATATGAGATACGAAAACACTTAAGAAGCATATCATAGTAAATGATATTCGCTGGTAAGGAAGTGACATCTACTAACTGGGAAATCTACTTTCCTGGTTAGCTGGTAAAATGAAGTAAGCAATAAGTTGCTTCCCGACTGTTTCGAAGGGTATAAATCCACAGATTATTAACCTATTGTGAGTAAAATTATAATACTGAATGAAACCAGAACTAATGAGAAAGGATGTTAAGTAGGAATTGTGAAAAATAACACCTCCTCCTATCTTGATCACTGCAAGAATAATAACTATAGTATTTTTTTTTTTTTTTCGTTTTATGGCCTAGGTGTATATACCTAATATGCCAGTCTGAATTTATGTTTGTCTTCTTATTAATGTGTGTTCTGTGTAGGTTTTGTTACTGTTTGTCAGCGCCACTTCAGGAACAGCACTGTTAATTAGAACCCAACAGTGAATGGTCGAGTGGGGAATCCTACCTATGCATTAGAATTAATATTTAATTTTTTTTAACCAAATAAAAATTCCTGCCACCTGTCACTGGCGGGATTCGAACCTGAAACCCTCCGAGCTCGACACTCTTTTATTATAGGAGATTTTAATATGAATTGATAACATATATTTTTAAATGGCATGTTAAAATAGAATGTACCACTGAATAGACCTGTTTTATGTTGTCTGAAAAATGCTCTGTATCAACTTAATGTAACGATTATATTACTGTAGTGTGCCAATTCATCAATAAGTGTACTACTTTTATGCGAAGTTATACACCCTTTAACTCGACAGAAAAAGTAACCCATTTTGTTTAGACTGTTGTATCATTGTTGAAAATTTTGTATGCACCTATGTGTTGTTTAGTACTGTTGCATATTGCATCTCGATAACCTGATTATTATGCAGTTGATTCGCAAATAATTATGTGAAATACTCAATTGATGTTTAAAACATTCGAGAGTTTTCAGATTTTATTTTGAAATGACATATCCTATTTTTACATCCTTTCGTTTTAGCTTTGTTTATTATAGATGAATGTTTTATATATCCAGTTGTTAACATTTTTGACTAATTATTTATTTTTATTTTTTAAAATATAATTTTAAAATAAATTTGTATTTTATTTAAAAAAATATGGGATGATTTTGGGTCCCAGGAGTAATTGGTGACTAGGGTACAACGTACAACATAATTGTTACCGCTTAATAATAACATAGAACTCAGCGGGAAGTGTTTGTGCTGACCAGAGAAGGAGAAAGGTTTGTCGTTATAATAAGTAACAGGGTGGAGAATATTTTTAACTAGCAATAGCATGGTAAAGGGTGCGGATATCATTCTCTCAGTGGGGAGCAGGCCATTATAATGTTTCCTTCCCTCTTCAGTCGCACTGGAAGGATCAGGAATCGGGTCTGAACAAAGATGTCGGATAGAATAGATACGCCTTATTTACATTAAATTTGTCAAATATACTGCATTAAATTTTTAATAAAAATATTACTATTCCCTTTAATAAAATCTATTTAAACAACATGATTTTTCCTGTCTAGTTATTACTAACTTTTTCCGGTTATTTTGAACAACCTATTGTATCACCATTGTAAATGTGTAGAGGATGAACTACATACATTTTCCACACACATATAGTGTCTACATATGGAAAACTTTTTAGTATTAGTTTTATCAAAAAAATGTATTCTTCATAAAAAGTTGTAAAACCTAAAATAACCATCGGACATCAAATTTTATAAGTCGTATACGAGGTTGGTCAAAAAAATGATTTTTGGTCAAAAGTATATTCATTTTTGACAAACCTCATATACGACCATAAAATATGATATCTAATGGTTTTATTAAAGGTGTTTCGCCTGCATCAGGATATAAAACCTCTAAACTCTGATATAATACCATAGAGGACTGTATTCCATGTGTTCACAAGTCGCTGGCTTTGGGTTAAAAGATCGAAGAGAGAAAGAAACATTTCAGTAATAACATTGTTGGTTAAATTTTACAGTACATAATACATTTCTTGCTCAGATTTCTTTGATCGCCATTAAGGCGTGGGTTAAAAACCCAATTGTCGATGTGACTTTTATAATTGTTGAGACGAGTTTGAGAGGCTACATGCCGCGGTCCAAAAACCGTTATGGCTCGCGCAAACATATTACCAACTGTCTTTGTTTTTACTAATTATTATCGATTTTGAATTCGGGCATTTCTATTGGATAATAACCACGTTAATTACTTTTATTTTATTGAATTCGCAAACCTTGTCCTAAATTGATTATAATAATAATGTTTATTTTACTTCTTACATATATTTTTTTTTTACAAATAAGTTCTCTTTTAATGTAAATAAACATGGGTTAGTCCGAAAAAACCATAAGGTTGTGCTCGGAAATTACTCCTGTTTATTAGTAGCGTCATAATTGCTGATGAAAATTAATAATTATAACAATAGACTTGAGATTAATAATAATACCAATAGTAATTACAATATTAATAAATGTAAATATGTGCATTAATAATAATAATAATAATAATACTAATAATAATAGATAATATACATGAATAATAATAATTAATTGTACTAGCTGGCAGACTAACTAATGATTAATTAATAATATGAACATGAGTATAATACGAGTAGTTAATATTATTAAATTAAATACTTAATACAAATAAATATAATAATAATGCATTCTTAATAAATATTATAATTAGTTAAAAAAATTATATAAAAAGAAAAAGCATTAGAATATAACAAAACACAATTTTCAAGTCATTTTTAAGTCAATTCAACAGGGGCGGCCTTGAATTATTATTTGATTCCAATATTTGAAATATGTTAAAGGTATTTTTAACAATAGGTTTTAGACCATGCACAATTTTTTATGAAGAATGCATTTTTTTCCTAAATTTAATAATATAAGCTTCAGAAATGTAAGATTTCTTTAAATAGGTATCTTTCAAAAATGGATTTTACCAAAATTTCCGAACTAGTATATATTTTACCCCTAAATTTGCTGACGATGTCAAAAAGTTAATTAGGCATTCCAAACAAAATGGCTCCCAGTGGGTTTTGACAGGTTATGTATGATATGGCAAAATTATTGCAATCCTGGGCTGGTACTCTGTGTCATGTAGAATTCTACTTATCGTTTTCTACAATAGAAATCGATTATTTTATTTTGTGGCACTCTAACATAGCGGAAAACCAACGGGTATATACTTACTACAGGATACCCTAGTTTCATAAGGGTCGATTCCACCGTTGTGTTAAACGAAGTTTAAATTACTAAGCGAAGTTTAAAATTACATTTTTACATTAACAAAGTCATTTTTAATCTTCGTTTAGTAATTTAAACTTCGTTTTATACAACGGTGGAATCGACCCTAAAAAAACAACTTTGCGTTATTTCCCGTGTGGTTGATGACGTATTTATCCGTACAGCGTCGTCGGTCACTATAGAAAATAGTATATTACATTACGAGTGTGGAAAGTGTAATTTCTCACACGATTGGGAAATATTGTCGCACGAGGCCCAAGCCACACGAGTGTGGAAAATCACTTTTCACACAAGTGATGTACAATTATTTTTCCTACGACCACAAAATAATTTCATCAAAAAATGTAAAACCGGGTTATTATTATAATAGTTAAAATGTATTTAAAAAAATAATCAACAATAATTGTATTCAATTTTCATATTTTTCGAAACAAAAATAAAAAAAAATCTGCAACCACCAAGATTTGAACGCGGGCCCGCGGACCCGTCGTGTAAGCCAAAGTTCAAATTGCAACTACCCTACAACCTGAGCTAATGGGTCTCATGTCAAATTCATTTTTAATTTGATTTTAAGTTTAAACAGAATAAAAAGCCAAAATAATGAGATGTATGTACTTATTTTAATTTTTGTTAAAAATAAATATCTTGGATCTAAGTTTAAACATCAATTTTAATTATTCATCATATCGATTTTACTATATTAATATGGACACTACATAAATGAAAATAGAAATGATGCGTTTGACATTATGTGACAGCTGATGCGGAAATGTAAAACGAGGTTTATATTATAATAAATAAAATGAATTTAAAATAACAATCAATAATAATCGTATTTATTCAATTTTCTAAACAAAAAAAACTAAAAAAAAAAAATTCTACCCCGCACGGATTTGAACGCAGGTCTCAAATGGCAAAGTTGATAAAGGTTTTTTTTTTCTCTCCTGGGCTCGTCTGACTATGTGTCTCCGAATAACACTGAAGCCTATTGGCTTATTGTGTTTTACCCCATGTTAGTTCATAGCACCCACTCTATCACCTTTGTACCTTTGTACAAGTTTGTACAGATCCTTGGGTGAGTGGGTTCTATACTTTGTTGGATCAACCTGGGGTTGTCCAAAAAGAGCCTGTCTTTTGCGATCTAGAGCTTCGCATTCGCACAGTATGTGTTTGGCCGTTTCTGGTTTCTTGTGACATAGTCGGCACATGAGTTCCCCATTGTACATGCCAATTTTGTTCAAGTGTCCCTTTACTGGGGCGTGCCCAGTCATGAACCCTGTTATCACTTTCAACTGGTTCCTATTCATTAAGAGTAGTTCTCCAGTTCTTTTGGGACATGGTCTGCCTATGAAGGCTTTTCCATGTGCCTGTTTTGGGGTGCTTCCCCAATAGTTGATATGTTGTTCCCGAATCCAGTCATTTATAAAACCCGGGACTGTACTTTTTGGTACTCCTGGGTTTGTGTCTGGTTCCGGTGTTTCTTCTGACCCTCTTTTTGCAAGTTCGTCAGCCTTTTCGTTGCCTTCGATCCCTTTGTGACCTGGCACCCAAAATAGTTTTACTCTATTACGGTCTGCCAGTGTTCTTAGTTCTTCGGTGCATTCCCATACCAGCCTCGACGTAACTTTCTGACTCGATATGGCCTTAAGGCTGTCTGACATTATTTGAATATGCTGATTTTCGACAGCTCTTTCATTGTTCGTTTTTGCACATTGCAAAATTGCGTATACCTCGGCCTGAAATACCGAGGAATGTATTCCTATAGCATAGCTATGGTTAGTATCAGGGTTTTTGGAGAATACTCTTGCCCCAGTGCCTTCCGCAGTCTTAGATCCGTCTGTATACCAGGTTTGTTCCTGTCGTTGGGCATTGGGCTCCCTTATGGTGATCTCCGCTCTTTCCTGTATTAAAACCTCAAAGGTAGTATTAAAAGAGTACCTCTTGGTTAAGTGGTCTGATCTCATGTCTAGCACGTCTCCTGTCACTAACCTTGAGATACTTATGTGACCTGGCCTAATGTCAAGATTTCCCAGTGTATTCCCTAATCTGTAAGCACCTAATCTTGCCTCCCCTTGTATCACATAGTGAAGAGGTGGGAGTCCTATTAGTGCTTCCATTGCAACAGTGGGGGTTATTTTCATTGCCCCCGTTATTCCGAGGCAGGCAAGTCTTTGTACCTTGCTAAGCCTCGTTATTGCTTTCCTTTGGCCACCACACCAAAGCTGCGTATGTTATTATGGGTCTCACCACCATGTTATAAATCCAATATACCATGTCTGGTTTTAACCCCCATTTTTTTCCAAAGGATCGCCTTGCCATCATTAATGAGGTTTCCGCTCTCCTTGTGGTTCTTTCTAGATGCTGGTTCCAGGTAAGTCTCGAGTCAATCATAACCCCGAGATATTTTACCTCCCCTTTAAGCTGGATGCTTGCACCTCTTAGGTTTAGAGGCCCTAGCCCCTCCAATTTCCTCCTGCGAGTAAATGCAATTATGTCAGATTTGTTTGGGCTAATATTTAGTCCTTCCGCCTCTGTCCATTTTGTTACTATATTTAGAGCCTCTTGCATTCGATCTCTTACTATAGAACACTATAGTGCCATGATCACTAGATCATCGGCATATCCCAGGGTTCTATGTCCCTTATCTTTGAGAGCCCTAAGCAGCCCGTCCACTACAAGGTTCCACAGGAGTGGAGACAGCACTCCACCATGTGGACATCCTCTCGCTACCCGTGCCGCTGTTGTCTCTCCCATAAGGGTTGTGTGTACAGTTCTCTCCCTTAACAT